TCTGTGCTTAAGACTTCGTTATATCCGGAACCCCCTCCCTACTACTGTTTTTCAGGTGCTCTTTGCCCCATGAAGAGTGGGCAGGACTGAGGCTCGCTCTTCAAAGTCCTCTCACCCAATGACACCTCCAGTCGCCAAATTCCTAAGGTTCAGACTCCAGAGTGTGAGATTGCAATTGAGTTTCATCAGGTTGTGGAGTAATGGACACTTGCTACTAATCTTAGGACTGTTCTTTCAAAAATGTGTACCATGGTATTTTGTTTTGTGCTGTCTGCACGTGCTTAGCCTACATGTAAGTCTCATGTTCAACGGACTTCATGACCCTTTACCTGGATTCCATACATGTGTAAAAATAACCGAGTGACGTCATGGTTAGTCCTTTCTACACTGTGCTCATGTTGGCCCTCGAGGCAAACATTGTCTACTCATCTGGACCTTACACGTTCCCCCAACTGTTTCATAATCTAGCATTTCCCATCAAAGATGGACTTTTTTTCTTCCATTGAACCTTAATAACAAGGATAATTGTCCATCTTTCTTATTACAGAAACCTGAAACTGTTTAAGACGTACTTGTCCACTTGACCAAACTAGACCCTCAATTGAGGAATTGCGTCCTTCACATTGGCCTACAAGACACTGATGATTGATGTGGGAGGGAGGGCCCAGGCCACTGGGGTCAAATCCCCCCCCCCAGGCAGATTGTCCTGGGTTTTATAAGAAACCTGGCTGGGGGGTGGAGCATTAGCTCAGTGATTAAGAGCACCAGCTGTTCTTCCAAAGGATCTGGGTTCGATTCCCACACCCATATGGTAACTCCAGAGGATCTGAGACATACACAAGCAGACAAAACATCCATACACATAAAACAAAATAAAATTTTAAAAAAGAAAGAAAGGAAATTGGCTGAATATGAGCAGAAGGAAAGCAAGGCAGAGTTCCTCAGAGATTCCTGCTGGGGGGGGGGGGGGCCCTGACTTGCGGCAAGACGAACTATAATCCGGAAGTAAACACCGAATAAACATTTTCCTCCTCTAGTTGATTTTGCTCAGAGATTTATCACGGTTATAGGTTATAGAAAAAGAGCCCAGGAAAACTGCTCAAGCACTTTCCTGGGCAACGTTCTTTACCTAGTTTCAAACGATCTCACACTGTGCTGGTCAGGAGTCACGGAACTCTGTCTAACCTGCCTGGCAATTTGGAAAATGCCAGGAGTGACTTACCCAGGTGTTCTGTGGTTGGCTGGTTCTCAGCAGAATGTAAGAGCCCCTGGAGTGGGGGTCAGGGAGAGGGGCATATGAAGCTTTAAAGACTTAAGAGGGTTTGTTTTTGGTGTTTTGGTTTATTTTGCAATGAGTAACTAGGAAATCCGGTGAGCTGCCAACCAACAACTCTGAAACAGTTTCTCAAAGCTCAGTTCACGAAGGAGATTTGACAGTAGTTGAAGATACCCCAACTAAGCCCACTGCTTCTGTGAATGGGTTCTAAAGATTTGTTGCCAGGAGACCACTATAAGCAGCTAAGCAGCTTTGGAACCTAAGGAACCAAGGAAGGTTTACGACACAGAACCTCGCTTCTCTTTAAGACTGTGGGACACTATGCCACTTGGGAGGTAATTTCAAATCACTACAGCTATAGCAGGATCTGATATAGCACAAATTCTAATTGTTCTTAACAGTAAAAATCCAGAGTCAGATATAGGGGTTAAAGTTGAAGAGCAGAGCAGAGAGGCAGCCACTAGGGAGCTCTTATCTACCAATGCTCAGGCCAAAGGGGTGATCCTGTCTCTACAAATCCTCAGAATGCATTTCCAGACTGCAGACAGCATCTGATCTGTCTCCTCCCGCCTTATAGTCCTCTCCTTTCCCTCCACACCCCACTTCCCTCCCCCAGCCTTCCTATCTCCACCTCCCTAACGCTGGGATTAAAGGTGTGTGACTCTCAAGTACTGGGATTAAAGGTGTGTGCCATCACCTCAGGGCTGTTTCTGTTTGAGACTGGATCAATCTAGGGTACCTCAAGATGGCCTTGAACTCAGAGAAATCTCTCTGCCTCCCGAGTGCTGGGCTTAAAGGTGTGCCACCACTGCCTGGCCTCTACGGCTAACTAGTGACTTAGCTCTGTATTCTGATCTTCGGGCAAGCTTTATTTGTTAGATCACAAAACAAAATATCACTACGATCTTCATCAGTGTCAGCTGCATGGAGAGAGGGCAGACTGAGGTTCCTGAGAAAACGGAAGCTGTGTAAAAGGCTCAGCATGCAGTCAGCTACCAGACCTTCAATCTTAGTCAGGTCTCATCTTGCAGTGGCCGGGGGTTTGGACTCTAAGGTGAAGGCACTACAGCAGACTGGTTTTTGTTGTTGTTATTGATTTAGGGTTCTGTTTTTTGTTTGTTTGTTTGTTTTGTGTTTTGCTTTGTTGTTGTTGTTTTGGTTTCTTGGGGGTGGGGTTGTTGTTGTTTGGTTGATTTTGTTTTGTTTTTACTGACAGAGTTTCTCTGTGTAGACCAGGCTGACTTTAAACTCACAGAGATCTGCCTGCCTCTTCCTCCTTCCTTCCACCACCCAGCTGAGCAGACTGTCTTCATGGCATTATAAACGAAACAGACAGCTTTCGTCTCAAAGGAATAAAAGAAGTCATTTATTCTGGAGTCAAATATTAGTGACCATAGTCTTGGAATTTAGGTTTCTCCAAATACTGTGTTCCAATAAAGTAGCAATTTCATGATGGTTTTGTAGGAAAAAAGGTCATAAATCTGGACACTTTTCAATTATATTGGTGTAAACATAAGATAAGTGGGTCAGAGCAGTGCTCTCTGATGACACTCAGCCTTTAGGTTGGTGAAAGCTAGTAGTCTGCTAGATTAATACATCACACAAGGTTTCACCCAGCAGTCACAGGGTGTGAGTTTGGATAGAAAGGTGGGAAAGGACTGGCTATTTAGGGAGCTGAAGGTTGCTCCAGGTAAATTGTAATTAGACTTTGGACCTGCAACACCCCAGACTCTCTACAATCTTTGAAGTTCTAAGAAGTTTTTTTTTGCCTTGTAGAAGGCTCAGTGGCCCCTGGGGCTTCTTTCCAGGAGCTTTTGTTCAAGCCCTGAGTGTATTCCCTGGAGGCAGCTGTGAATCTGGGTGAGAGATATAAGTCAGAGGTTCTGAAGGGAGAGGGGGAGGACACTTTGCAAATGTGGGTGTTCTTGTTTTGGGGGCATAGATGGTCAGAATTGAGACTTTATCTTGATGGATTTTTCCTACCATGTATATGAAATGGCCTTCTTCATCTCTTTTGATTATTTTTAGTTTGAAGTCTATTTTGTTAGATGTCAGGATAGCTACACCAGCTTGTTTTTTAGGTACATTTGCTTGGAAAATCTTTTCCCAACCCATTACTCTAAGGTAAGGTCTGTCTTTGAAGTTGAGGTGTGTTTCTTGTATGCAGCAGGATGGATTCTGTATCCAATCTGTTAGCCTGTGTCTTTTTATAGACCAATTAAGTCCATTGATATTAATGCCTAGTGACTTCTGTTAAGTTGGAAGCATAGCCCCCAGCCCTTGGCATCCATCCCAGCCTCTCTGACCTGGGAGTTGCTTTGGTCTGGACTCCCACAGAGTATTTACGTAGGCTTCCAGAGGAGAAACATGTGGTTTTCGGGTCTACATGTGCTCCCTGCTTTCCTGTCTCCCCGCCATGCATTCAGCCACCTGAGAGCATCATGCTTAATAAAACGATGGGCATTTTGATTCAGCTTGATGTGACCTAATTGGATTTCTTGCGCCAGCAGAGCTGTCCCTTTTTCTTATTTTTTACTTAACAACTTCTAGTTCCTGATATTTTTGTTTTTGTTGTTGGTACTGTGTGTGCGCATTTTCTTTCTCTGGGATCTGTTGGTGTGGGATTATCTATTGCCTGTGTTTTTGTTGGTGTAGCTAACTTCCTTGGTTTGGAGTTTTCCTCCTAGTACTTTCTGTAGGGCTGGATTTATGGATAAGTATTGTTTAAATCTTCTTTGTCTTGTTATCCCCACCTATGGTGATGGAAAGCTTTGCTGGGTATAGTAGTCTGGGCTGGCATCCATAGTCTCTTAGTGTTTGCATAACACCTGTCCAGGACCTTTCTCCTTTCATGTTTCCATTGAGAAGTCAGATGTAATTCTGATAGGTTTGCCTTTATATTTTATTTGGTCTTTTTTCTTTGCAGCTTTTGATATTCTTTCTTTATTCTGTATGTTTAGTGCTTTGATTATTATGTGGTAAGGGGACCTTTTTTTGGTCAAGTCTATTTGGTGTTCTGTAAGCTTTTTGTGCTTTCATAGGCATGTCCTTCTTTAGCTTGGGAAAGTTTTCTTCTCTGATTTTGTGAATATATTTTCTGTGCCTTTGAGCTGGACTTCTACTCCTTCTATCCCTATTATTCTCAGGTTCAGTCTTTTTGTGGTGTCCCAGATTTCCCGGATATTTTGTGTTAAGGACTTGTTTGGGGCTGGAGAGATGACTCAGTGGTTAAGGGCACTGCCTGCTCTTCCACAGGTTCTGAGTTCAATTCCCAGCAACCACATGGTGGTTCACAACCACCTGTAATGAGATCTGGTGTCCTCTTCTGGCCTGAAGGCATATATGCAGGCAGACCACTGTATACTTAATAAATAAATAAAAGAACTTGTTTGTGTTAGGAATTTTTCCTAATGCAAGCTCTCTGCCAATGCAAAAATTCCAATCAAGCCAAGTCACAAGAAGCCAAATTAAAAAATATCCAGGTTTAATGGGATTCCTGCGCTCTTGGGTGGCCCTGAGGGGGAACCAGGAGGCTACCAGGAGGAAGGAAAAGAGACCACATGATCCTCTTTTAGGGGTTCATTTAAATGCCCTGAGAGAATGGACCTGACCCCTCCCTGGGGGAGGGTAAGGACCTCACATGCTGGGATTTGGAGTCCAGACCAAAGCAACTCTCAGGCCTGGGGGCTAGGATAGATGTGAGGAGCTGGGGGTCTACGCTCCCAACTTAACAGTTTGATTTTACATTTTCTTTGACCAATGAATCTATTTCCTCCATTGTATCTTCAATGACTGAAATTCTGTCTTCCATCTCTTGTATTCTGTTGTTTATGCTTGCATCTATATTTCCTGATCATTTACTCTGCTTTTCCATTTCCAGAATTCCCTTGGTTTGTGTTTTCTTTATTTCTTCCATTTTGATTTTCAAGTCTTGAATCATTTCTTTCACCTGTTTGATTGCTTTTTCTTGATTTTCTTTAAGGGACTTGTGGATTTCTTCCAATTTTTTGTTTGTCTTTTCCTCCATTTCTTTAAGGGAATTTTTCATTTCCTCTTTAAGGGCCTCAACCAGCTTCATAAATTTATTTTTAAGATCGTTTTCTTCTGCTTCATCTGCATTGGGGTGTTCAGGTCTTGCTGTTGGAGATCACTAGTTCCTGGTGGTACCGTATTGCTCTTTCTGCTGTTGAGTGCATTCTTGCACTGTTGTCTACCTGTCTCTTCCTCCAGTCGGTCCAGGTGGAGCTTGTGCTTCAGGGGGTCCCTCTTCCTCCAGTAGATGCAGTTGGTGGCTGTGTGCTCTAGGTACAGATGTGGTTCACAGCTCCGGTGAACACTCCTTTCGGTGCAGCCAGGTCTGTGGCTCTAGTGGTCGCTAATGTGGTGGGATATCTCGTATAGAGGATGTCACTGGGTGCTGTTTGGAACACAGGTGCTGCTTCCCAGAGGAACTTCTCATTATAATTTCTGAAAGCCCCTACTGTCTATGCTTCTGGGCCATCACAGCTACCGCTGTATTCCCTCTCGGACACGTCTGGGCCAGGGTTGCTGCACTCCCTCTTGCTCTCTCTCTCCCTCTGACACTTCCTGGTTGCTGGGTGGGAGGGCAATGCTCTCTCTCTCGCTCTCTCTCTCTCTCTTTCTCTCTCTCTTTCTGACACTTCAGGGCCTGGGTTGGGGCCTCTGCCAAGTTCCTCTGCTCTCCCTATTAACCAAGCTTCCCTTATAATAGAAGCAGGAGGGAAAGCACAAAACATCCATCACAAGAACAGAGGAACCTTCAGTACAGAGTTGAAGCCTCTTACTTAAGGAGAAGCAAGAATTCCAACACAGTAGATAACTGCTTAAGGTCTTTCTCCCTTCCTAGCTGTACACCTACATTTTTCTCCATTTCTCATCAGAAACCCCTCTTACAGGAAAAGGACATGCATCAAACCCTCCTGTGCAACCCCAGGTTTTAACAGAAAGTGTCCAGTCAGAGTGGAAGGTTTGTTTGGGAAAGGAAGTTTGTTAACAGAGGTTTTTGTTCCACCAGGCCCACAGCCGTTCAGTCCCAAAGAAACACACAGAGGTCTACATTAATCATAAACTGGTTGACCTATGAGCTCAGGCTTCTTATTAATTCTTCTTCTTATTAACTCTTACATCTTAAATTAGCCCATTATTCCTGTCTATGTTAGCCACGTGGCTTGGCACCTTTTATCAGTGAGGCATCTTCATCTTGCTTCCTCTGCGTCTGGGTTACAACTGCAGACTGAATTCTCCGGTTCTGGTCATCCCGCCTATACTTCCTGCCTGGCTACTGGCCAATCAGCACTTTATCAAAATACAAGTAACAAATCTTTACAGGGTATAAGACCATTGTCCCACAGCAGAAGTTGTCTGACTAACCCCCATAGGCTCATGTGTTTGAATACTTTGTCTCCAGCTGGTGGGACTGTTTTGGGGAAGAATTAGGAGGTGTGGCCTTGTTGGAGGAGGTGTGTCACTGGGAAAGGACTTTGGGGCTCAAAGACTCATACTATCATGACTGTGTGAGCTCCCAGCAGCTGCTCCAGCCAACATGCCTGCTGTTTCCTACCATGATGCCCCATTATGATTGACTCTTAACCCTCAGAAACTATAAGCCCACTTAAATGTTTTATAAGTTTGCCATAGTTATATTTCATTGCAGCAATAGAAAAGTAACTCATACAGAAGCTATGACCAATTCATAAGCTTTATTTGGAGAGTGATTTGGGGCAGAGGAGTAGGAATGACAGGGCCTGCAGTGGGAGGGCAGATAGGAGAAATATAGCACTGTAACAGACAGTCTAGTGGAGGCTTGGAGAGGATCTCTCCCTTCAAAACCTGGAGGGGTGCTGCATTAGGAGGGAGCCTCGTGAAGTGAAGCAGCATTAAGAGTGATAGCAGCGTGCGTGACAGGAGTTCCAAACGGAGACAGAGACCCTTCAGTTCCCACGTAGCAAAGGACATTCCTTTTTTTTTTTTTTTTGTAGGTTTTCAGGTAGAAAGAAGTTCCATACCATAGAATTTAGTCTGACCAGCATACATGCCAAGGGGCAGACATTCGGTAGGACCATCCTGAAGCTGTGAGGGGGAAGAGGGGCAAGGTCATAGCACAACTTGGCTTCTTATCAACTCTGTCCAATAAAGGGAAGAAAGGATGGAGACAGACAGATAGATGACAGAGAGACAGACGGACACCCAAACACACACACACACACATGCATACACACACAGAATGAGAGAGAGAAACAAACAGAGACAGAGAGATGACAGACACACACACACAAAGATACAAAGACAGTCAGACAGATGACAGACAGCAGACAGAGTGAGTACGAAGCCTGGAGCTTTAGAAATGGACTTATCGTGTCTCCTTCCTTCTCAGTCAGCCATCATATCAGATAACTACTATTCTTTGAGAATATGGTATTCTTTGTGATTACACTGTTATAAAATTCCTTAGGACACAGGTTTAAGGGCATTTCTGGGAAGACCCTCAGTAACTCTACATGAATGGGAGGGAAACCTACCCTCATCCTGTTTTTAAAGTTGGTGAGAGAGCTCAGTGTGTTAAAGGTGCTGCTCTCCAAGGTTGATGACCTTGGGTCCCACATTACCCAACTTAAATTAACCTCTACAAGTAGACCTTGGCATATGTTTCCCCCCAATAAAATAAATTATATAACTGTAATAAAAATAAAATAAAATGCTCAGGGCCAAAATACTTCCTGACATAGAAGTAAGATCCACACTAATGTGTAAGAATATAAAGAACACGAATATCAGTCTCACTCACCCAACAGTTAATTTTCAACCAGCCAGAGCAGGCACTGTTTCAGGGCAATTGTCTCCTTGTGACCAGCCTTTACCTTTGCCCTAATTTTTCTAGTCCAACTATTTAAATATCCAATGCCCTTGTGACCGTGTTGACCTTGTGGCTGTGAAGAAACAAGCTAATGCTTTCATGACATAAAAATAATTCTATGTGACTTAAGTTGAAGGAAGTAGTCGATTCTGGCCTGTAAGCAAATGTTCTAGATAAAATGACCCTGGCAGAAAGAAACTTCCCAGGGTCAAGTCTCATTCCTAGAAGACATTGCTGGGGACAGAAAGCACCCTGCAGAGCAAAGGGACAGCCAACAGCCTGCTGGCTCCTTGGGACAATTCAGGAACAACAGGAGTTGGTAGAGCCAAAGAAGGGCTTGGCCCTGGGAGTAGCCGAACCTGCTGCTGAATGATGGGAAAGGAGCCTGGTTCAAGGCCAGGAGGGCGTAGTGCTACTTGATTTACAGCATCAAGTATGACAAAGTAGCCTGGTCAAGAAAGAGTGTGGGGGCAGGTAGGAATTGAGCTGAACCTGAAGGAGTAGGTCAAGTTATGTCAAGTACAGATCAAGTACCATTTCATGTAGAGGACATGGGAGGAAGCTGCACTGTGGGGAGGGAGGAAGGGATGCTCAGAGAATAGCTGGGGATCCAGCTAGCTTAAGCAGGATAAAGGCATCCCCAACCGTTGCTCCCTGAAGAGTGGGGTCTAGCCTGGAACTCCTGAGCTCACTCTGTACCCAACCAGTGCCTCCTAGTAGCTGGGACAAAACCAGGAGTACCCTGCTGTACCCTGCTGGAAGCCACTTGTTGGTTCCTGGCTATTCAACCCCGAAATAACCACACAGAAACTGTATTAATTAAGTCACTGCTTGGCCCATTAGCTCTAGCTTCTTACTGGCTAACTCTTACATATTAATTTAACCCATTTCTATTAATCTGTGCATTGCCACATGGCAGTGGCTTACCAGCAAAGTTTCCGCACCTGTCTCCAGCCGGACTACATGGCTTCTCTCCGACTCTGCCTCCTTTCTCTCATTAGTTTTCCCCACCTACCTAAGTTCTGCCCTATCAACAGGCCCAGGCAGTTTCTTTATTCACTAATGGGATTCACAGTATATAAAGAGGAATCCCACATCAGTACCCAGCTGCTTACTGAAAGACCCCCGAGGGATGTCTTCCTTTCAGGAGAGACCCCGGACCCACGGATCAGACGAAACCACTCGTACGGATGCAAACAGCAAGAGGTTTTATTCGAATACACAGGTATCTGGGGCGACAAAGTCTCTCAGAGGACTTGAGCGCTCAGGCTGGAGCGAGGGGTTTTTATGGGAGAGCAAAAGCGCGGTTACAGGAGCGAGGTGCATGGTTACGGGGATTCATTCCATTGATCAATTCAAACAAGGCTATGAGCTCATGTTGGGTGGTAAATTCTTGACCTTTCACCTAACTAACAATGAAGAGACCACTCAGGAATTTCCTGTTCCTCTTATCTCTCCCTCCTTCCCTAGCTGGAGACCAGATGTCTGATTGTAGATATCCTGACTCATGACAGGCCCTGACTTGTTTGTGTCTTAGGCCTTGCAATCTTTTCTTCACTTACAAGTGCTATGGGACAATGGTCTGTATCCTGTCACTTGTATTTTAGATAAATGCTGATTGGCCAGTAGCCAGGCAGAAAGTATAGGTGGGGCAACCAGGCAGAGAGTAGAGGCAGGGAAATGAGAATACTAGGAAGAGGGAAGTTTCAGTCTGCAGTCCTCACCCAGACACAGAGGAAGCAACGTGTGACTGCCTTGCCAAAAAAGGTATCAAGTCATGTGACTAACACAGACAAGAATTATGGGCTAATATAAGTTATAAGAGTCTATAAGAAGCCTGAGCTACTAGGCCAACCATTATGATTAATGTAGACCTCTGTGTGTTTATTTGGGATTAAACGGCTGTGGAACCTGGTGGGACAGAAACTTCAGTCAACAAAGAAATGAAAACACTTGAATAAAAAAGAAAATGGAGGAGAGGCTGAAAAGATGGCTCAGCAGTTAGGAGCACTGGCTGCTCTTCCAGAGGTCCTGAGTTCAATTCCAAGCACCCACATGGTGGCTCATACCATCTGTAGTGTGAGATCCAGCCCCCTCTTCTGTCCTGCAGGCATATATGCAGATAGAACACTGTATATATAACAAATAAATAAATAAATAAATCTTTTTTTAAAAAAATGAAAAAGTGTTGAAAAGCCATGATCGCTCATAAGGCTATGAGGGCCTGAGCTCTGTAGACAATCTGTCTACAAGAGTCTAACTAAGAGCTATTTAGGATGTTGCACTGTTTTTTCTTTTTCTTCCTTATTCCACTATGGGCTTCCAGCTCCTCCTAGTGGGGATTATTCACTGTCCCTCTCTTGGGTGCCTGCAGGCCCTGCTTGTGAACCAGCTGTGTGGACAGGAGAATCTGAAGCAAAACATGACCAAGCCCAGAAAGAAAATGGCTCCCTCCACTCGGTGCCTTGAGCCGCAGCTCCCTCGGCTGGGATGGGGCATGACCTTCCTCTACCGGAAACCCACAGACCAGTTGGCGTGTACCTCCATCTCCAGAGTGCCGCCTGTCTTACGCTTGAGCCCACGGCACTGCGAGCATATCAAGGACCAGTATGTGAAAAAGGCAGCTGCCGACCTTTCCTTCTCTCAGGACGTTTGTTGGCAGCGGGGACTGCCCAGCATGCCTTTCAATCAGTACAGTTTTGAGCACGTCTACAACACGGATGACATCATTCCACCTCTACAGGCCAAGAAGACCCACACTGAGAAACCTGCCTACACCAGGGCTCCGCATGCCTTGGAGCTCTTGGCAGGAGACATCACCCATTTTGGGAAGACACAAAGCCCTGTGGGTTCTAAAAAGATACCGAAAAAACCAAAGCCCAAAGGCCTGGACCAGAAAGCATCTCCCCCACGCAGTCGCTATTCCCGCTCGAAGCCAGATATGCTGGACCTGTCACCCTCTCCAGATGAGAGTCTGGAGGAAAGGGAAACCTGGCTTCCACCTGGGGAGAAGGAAGCCAGAGCCTGGGAAGCCATCGTGCTGGAGAAGCTGGACAAGCGCACAGCGCGATGGATCCAGAACAAGCGTCCACCGAGGCCTGGGCAGTCGCCCAACAAATGGCAGAGCTTTTTGCGCCAGCAATACGACTGGAGCCATATTCGGGATGAGCTCACTTCAGCGAGTGACCTGGAGCTCCTCAAAAAGCTGGAGGCAGAAGAAACAGCGGAATTTGAGGGTGAAAGTGTGACCCTTCCCCCCAAGGAAATAAAGGAACCTGAGCTTCTGCTTCCTGTCTTCTACAGGTAGGCCGGCCTCAAGTGGGCCTCGTGAAGTAGTCCGTGGTCCTACTCCAGGGACTCTCCATAGGTTCCTTCTTTGATATCATCGTGTTTTCCCTGGTGCTGGTGATCAAACGCACCCCTTGCACTTGCTGGGCAAGTGCACTACCCCTGGCTACACCCCAGCCCACACTCTATACTTCAGAATATAATTTCCCGTCAACCTCTCATGCACCACCACCACCTGCTTTCTGAGATCTCCTCCCAGTGAGGTTTCTAAGCCTCTACACTGCTGACATTCTGGGTTGGACACTATTCTATCCTAAGTGGCTGTCCTGTGCTGTGTAGGATGTTAGCAGCCTCTCTGGTCTTCACCCACTAGAAACCAGGAAGACTCCTGCTGTTACAAGGATGTCTCAGACACTGCCAGATATTTCTGCCGGACACACCCTGTTCAGGCACTGTCTTGGAGGGTTCTGTTCCTAGCCTCCAGGGACTGAGCTCTCAGGCTGATGATCCAACTCAGTAGGACTCCAAGAAACGTATCTAGATTGGCAGTGAGAAGGGCAGAGGGCTCATGACACTGAGTTGGTCTGCTTCACTTTGAGTAAGACTCCCTGACACCAAACACAAGCAGACTCAGGGCAGAGAAGCAAGCAATCTGAGAAGAGGTGACCCATCTCTGATTGCTTCCTTTCGTTCCCAGCTAGTGGGAAGGCAGGTGCTATGGAAATCTCCCTGACATCCAAACGGGAACTATTGGACAAAATGAGTTGATGTTTTTTGTTAGTGCTGATATTTCAGAGAGTCTGTGGAGTGGTGGGAATGTAATAAAAAGGGCAGCTGTGTCCACCTAGTAACAGACAGAAGCCCACACAGATGCATCGAGGTAAAGAGAAGGTAGTTTCCCTTCCCCAAATTCATGCATCTTCTAAGGGAACCAGTGTTAGCAGACTGCAGATTGGCCATGGTGGTATATGCCTTTAATCCTAGCACTTGGGAGGGAAAAAAAACCAGGGAGATCACACCTTTGAGACCAGCCTGGGCTACATACTAAATTCTAGTCTAGCCTGAGCTACACAGTAGGGCCCTTTCATGATTTCCCCACTATACACATTTAAAAAAAAAGGAAAAAGAAAATAGAATTGTGCAGGAAGCACAAATGTCCCTTTTACAATGTCTGTCTTTGACTGCAGGGGGCATATGTAGTGTGAATTCTAATTGGTCTTAATAATAAAAAGCCGGAGTCAGAATTAGGGGGTGAAAGATCAGAGAAGTAAAGCAGCAGCCATTAAAGTTCTTACCTCTACGAAATCCTCAGACCAAAAGTCTGAGCTCCTGTCTCTAGGAATCCTCAAACTGAATGGGCGAGATCCTGTCTCCACCTCTCTAAGGCTGGGATCAAAGGCATGAGATCCCAAGTGCTGAGGTTAAGGTGTGTGCCACCACTGCCTGGCTTGTATGATTAAGTAGTAGCTAGCTCCACCCTCTGATTTTCAGGCAAGCTTTATTTGTTAGAGCACAAATAAAATATCACAGGCATGGCTTCACCAGTGGAGGGTAGCAGGGGGGTTGAAGGCAGGCTCTTCCAGAGGCTTCATATTCAAATAGCACCACAGAGAAGAGACTAGTCATTAGCACAGTTACTTAGATGTTTCTATGTCGAAGAGTCTCAGGGGACTGCGGTGAGTCGTGGACCCTAATGGAAAGGTGGACATCTCCCACTCTTTGCACGTTTTCTCTTTCTTGCCACTGCCAAGATTACCTGGTTACTCCCCACAAGTACAGACAGTTGAAATCCTGCCCGGCAACAACATGACAGCCGAGGGTATCAAAGAAGAGAGAAGCAACTTCCAGCCTCCAATTCAGAACCGCTTCCGGCAGGTGAACCCCAAAGCTGGAGAGTTTGCTTACTCTACAGACAACACTTTTGAGCAAGAGATTTACTTTGGTAAATACTCCGGGGGTGGGGGGGGAATGGGCCAAGGGAGCAAGGGCATCATGGGGCAAGAATAGTAGCGAATGGAGGCAAGAGTCTCAGGGGCATCTCCCAGTGCTAGTACAGGATCTGTGGCAGGGGTATCTAGTGGGGAGCAGACATTTCTTTTGTCTGCCTCCCTATCTCTCCATCTTACTAAGGAGTGGAGGATGGGTTTGGAACATGAGTCAATTGACTTTAGGAACACCCTGTTCTTCTGTCTACCCTTTCCCTACTTATAGATACCCGCCCTTCCTCCCCAATTGGCCTGATGTGTTTTAAAAAACAAACAAAACAAAACAAAGCAAACAGGCTTTGGAATCAGGCAGATTTATTTAAATACTGGCTTGATTCCTTCCTAGTAACCTTCAAATTACATAGTCACAATACCCACCACCACCCCGCACAGCCTAAATATGATACTTAACTTGTAAGGCAATGCTAACAAGAATGTACTTTCGGTGCAGTAGACAAATCATCCGCAGAGCTGCACAGCACTTAGCACATGGAGGGTTTCCATGACTGCTCCATTACTGCCCTTCCTTCCCACCCTGCTAACCTTCCAACGCCCAGCCTTGTAGAACACATTCCAAGCTGTTCCTTCTTTACCAGTTCCATCTTGCTCCTACACTGCCATGGTCTGGGTCTTAAAGAGCTTAACAGAACTATTATAAGTGTTTCATAGCTGGTGGGATTAATGAAGAGCCCCTTGTTTAGTGTCTAGCACTGCTCAGAAATTAGTTTCTGCTTTACCAGTGGAAAACACTATCTTTGGCTCTCCTAGGTCTTTATAAGGCTTCCCCTACAAGGCTACTGGCTGTGACATTTCCAAGCAACAACCACCCTTTAACAATGTCCCAAGGGCTTAGGTTAGGGGGAAAGGAGGGACTGGTCACTCATTGTATCTATCTTCATAGACGGAGTTAAGATTGTTCACCAGATTGGTGGAAGGAATGACCAAATTGTCTTGGAAAACCTCAATCGGTATGACAAGCACCTAACTAAGATCTTTCCGGAAACCCCCGAAAAGTGGAGCTTCCAACCTGTCCCTGAAACACGTAAGGAGCATGATCAGAAAGCTAGTGATCGGGGAGTATGAAAGTGAAGCTGTTTCTTTCAAGTCATGGACACCAGCAACGACCAGGGCACTCCCTTCCTAACAACTAAAAGTGATCTCACAACACTGTAAACTACTCATTGCAAGATGGTAGAACTTGGGTCTGGGTGGAATCTGGTATTTGATTGCAAGATGGTAGAACTTGGGTCTGGGTGGAATCTGGTATTAGGTGTAAACACACAGCTTAGGGTAAGTACCAGCAAGACAAGTACATTCTCATGTATTCTCGGTGCTCCACTGGACGCTCATCACACCTGTGTGTCCCTGGCTCCAACCCCTCTACCCCATACTCAACTCATCCTTGCCTCAGGCCTGAGAATTTTTGATTTTTTTCCCATTTTTCTCGGTATGTCTCTGTGTGTAGTGGTGTGTGTACATGTATGTGTCGGTACCCAAGAGGAGGCACATGTGTGGAGGCCGGAAGCTAATACTGGAAGTCTTCTGGTGTAGGAGGTCCTTCTGTCTATGTGCTGCTTTCATTGGTTAATAAAGGAATTGCTTTAGGCCTATAACAGTGCTGTAAGGGAAAAGAGCTAGGCGGGGAAAACTAAACAGAATACTGGGAGAAAAAACGGCGGGGAGAGACACCATGAAGCTCCCAGAGTCAGAGGCTGGGAATTTTACCCGGTAAGCCACTGCCACATGGTGATACACAGATTAATAGAGATGGATTAAATTAACTTATATTTAGCCAGTAAGCTAGCCAATACGAAGCTAGAGCCAATGGGCCAAGCAGTGATTTAATACAGTTTCAGTGTGATTATTTCGGTTCTGGGCGGCCAGGACAAACAAGCGGCCTCCTCCTTCCAACAGTCTTCCTCAATTCCTCTCTATTTTATCCACTGAGCCAGGGGTTCAAACCCCAGTCCCCACATTAGCTTAGCAAGTGCTTTGCCCCCTGAGCCATTTCCCCAGCTCTTCTTCTTCTTCTTCTTTTTTAAAATGTATAACGTTTTTCATTTTGTAAGACAAATGTGACCAAGAAACAAACTTCTAAAACAAAATGCACCCATCTTCTAAGAGACTGTATAATTCCTATGATTCTTTGTCCCATCACTGTTCAGGTGGGCTCTCTGGAGCTGAGCATGTAGCTAGTTGTATTAGTCATTGTTCTGTGTTACAGGCAGACACCATGGCCAAGGTTGCTCTTGGGTTTAACTGGGAGCTTGTTTACAGTTTCAGAGGCTTTCTTAGTCCATTACCATCATGGCTGGGAGCATGCACACGCATAGTGCTGTTGGACCCTGGAATCCAATCACCGAGGAAGAGTCGTTCCAAGAGACCACTCATTCACACCGCAGTTGATGCAATAGCAAGAGGAATTTTATTCTGATGCTAGAGGTCCTTCAGCAGGTGAAGGAAAAACTATTGCAGGCTACTTTTAAAGAGAAAAACAGCAGAACCAACAAAAGGAGAGTACAGAATCAAAAGAAAGTGCAGAAGTCATTTGTCAACTATTGTGACTAGTTCATTTAATGATCATCTAACAATGATCGGCCGTTGCTATGGCGATTGCTGGGTTGGTTGAACAAGGAAAAACACCTGCAGGGTCATCTGCAGGTTGTTTTACCCCAGTTTTAGGACCTGAATCTATTGAGGAAAAACTACAAAGGGGATGGAAAATTCCAGGAGAAAGTACCCAAAGATCCAGTGCACGCCTGGGTGATTATCAGGTTCCTGGTTCCCAAAGGATGGGAACAGTTTAGCCAACGTGGCCCAGCCAGAGTTTTTCAGTGCTAGTACAGTAGCTAAGGGCTACATCCTGGTCCACAGGCTGAAAAGGAGTAGGTTGGTTTGGGCTTTTGAAACCTCAAAGCCCACTCCCAGTGGCCAACTTCCAACAAAGCCATACCTACTCTATCAAGGCCACGTCTCCTGATCCTTCTAATCCTTTCAGTGTCACTCCCTGGTGACTAAACATTCAAATATATGAGCCTATGGGAGATATTCTTTTGATTAACTTTAAAAAAATTATATGCATTGGTGTTTTGCCTGCATGTATGTGTGAGGGTGCCAGATCTCCTGCAACTGGAGTTACAGAGAGTTGTGAACTGTGTGTGGGTGCTGAGGAATTGAACCTGGGTTCCCCGGAAGAGCCGTCAGTGCTCTTAACTGCTGAGCCATCTCTGCAGTTCCTAGGCGACATTCTTATTCAAAGCCCCTGACTATGTATAGCACCTGCAAGCATGTCCAAGTCCCCAGGTTACACAGTTAGGCAGTCAGGTGAGACCTGTCTCTTCACTGCACAGCTTATAAACTCAGGAAAGGAGCCCAGCGTTGGATTGCTTTGCCCACCCGGGTCAAGGGCCTTCTGCTGAAGGTGGGTGAGAAGGACACGCCTGTCAAAACTAGGAGAGTAAAGAAGCAGGTCGAACCCCTCAAGGAGGATGTGACTTGGGAGCTGGCAGCACTGCGGAGGATGCTGCAGGAGTGGAAGACTGCCTGGGCACTCAGTAAGTGGAGGAAGGGCCTGAAATAGTGGGTATCTCTATGTGTTCCCCAGTCTTGAAAACTCCAGCTGTCTGGCAAAATGTAAAAGGCTGGTTGCCTCATTTAGGGGTGTGGATAAGAGCCTTTCAATCAGCAGTGTGGGTGAACATTATTACGTCTATGCTGGATTCTGTTTTGTTTGTTTTGTTTTTGTTTTTTGAGACAGGGTTTCTCTGTAGCGTTAGAGTCTGTCCTGGCAGTAGCTCTTGTAGACCATGCTGGCCTTGAACTCACAGAGTTCCTGCCTCTGCTTCCCAAGTGCCACCACCCGACTATGCTGGATTCTTTATGCATAGGCAGGTATGTGTGGGAACTTCAGTAATACATGGGAACTGACTGTGTTGCAGGCTTCCTGACATCAGGCTTTTGTAGGAAGCAGTTCATTGAGTGCTAGCACTGTCTGTGGGATTCTCCTCAAATGCAGAGCCACAGGCATCCTGGAACAGAGCATTTTATGCATTCTTTACCTTCTGAGTGGATGACTACTTTAGATTACTCGGTAGGGAAACAAAACAAAAACAAACAAACAAAAGCTGAGGTGGAAAGGGAGGGGAAGGATGAGGAACAGTTGGCTGCAGAAGAAACGTGGCGGAGTTGTTCTACACACATGAACGCTGACCATCCCACATGGCTGTTCCGTTTTTCTTCTCTTTGGCTCTTGGGGGCCCCTACCATAACCACACTGAGAAAACTACACAGGCAGAGACCGTGTCTTACCCATGTCTGAAACATGCTGGATAAACGATTCACGACAGGAAAGACGAAGGATATTGCCCCAGCATAAGATATGCAGAGATCAAGAGAAACTGCAGTTGACTATAGAATTCAGTTGTAAAAATGAGGTGATCATGAATCTACTTTCCTTCAAAGAACTTTAGATAGAAGGTTGAATGCCTCTACCAACTGAGAACCTCATCCTTCACTGTTTTTGTTTTGTTTTTGTGATGGGAGACTTACTATGTTCCCTAGACTGGTCTTGAACTCATGTATTCATGTAGTCAGTCTTTCTTTGGGACCACCAGCCCCCAAGTAGTGATGGGGAGACTTATTACTATTTATGAAAGTTTGGCCTTTAGCTTGTTCCCTACTATTTCTTATAATTTAATCTGCTTTTATTAATCTACAGTCTGCTACATGGCTCTTTATCTCTTCTCCATTCTGTATGTTCCATTCCATGTCTCACTGGTGAAATTCCCTCTCTTCTTCCCTTATTCCTCTCTCAGCCCAGAAGTCTTGCCTATTCTCTTCTGCCTATCCATTCAGCTCTTTATTAAACCAATCAGAAGGCACCTTGGGCAGAGACACATCTTTACAGTATGCAAAAAGGTTATCCCACAGCAGATTCATGATCCTCCTGTTTTAGCCTAAGTGACCGTGTGCCACCATAACCAGCCAACCACTATATTTCATTCCCCATTTATTTTCCATGGAAAGTTATTTAAGTAATGAGCAATAACATATAAGATGAGATTGGGGGAAACTACCTGAGAAGTGTATGAATTACCACATGAACAATTTGCCAAAGGAGCCTTTTTCTGATTCTTTATTCTGACCTAAAGTGTTTCTTCTATTGTCCTCGGGAAAGGCGCTTCTTGTCTGCCCATTTATTGCACAATATCTAACCCTAACTAGATGGTTCTCTTTACATTCTTCCTATGATTTAGTTATTGAATGGCATCATGAGACAGTGGAAAACCTATTGCGGGGCATAGTAAACATGTATGATGACTTGAGGATCCAGGCCATCGTCACATGTGCTACTGCTGCTTTGGAAAGGCCCCGGATTGCCCCTGACGAGCAGGACTCAGGTGAGAGCTTGGACTCAGAGGCTTGGAAACAGCTGAACTGAGAGGCCTTAGAGATTACTTGAGCTCATTTCCCAAATGTAGAAATCAAGGCCTAGAGTCTGCCCGGACAGCCACGCTCAGCCCTGGATTCCAGTTCAGTGCCGTAGTGTTAAGCTCAGGGCCTCTTGCACACTGGGCATGCCCTCTACCCCAGGGCTTTTTGTATTACACTCATGGCATTTGTGTGTTCAATGGCTTGCAGTGAGAACCACATTTTCCTACCTTGAAACCTCATAATAGTAAAAATCCTAACAGCTGGGGGCTGGTGAGACGGCTCAGTGATTGTGGCCAGTAGCTGTTCTTACAGAGGACCCAGGGTCTGCTCCCACCCACATATATGGCAACTCATAACCATCCGTACCCCAGTTCCAGGGGATCTGTCCTCTTCTGGCCTCTATCGGCACCAGACACACACATGCTACATATCCACTCAGACAAAGTATTCATATAGAGAAAATAAAAATCTTAAACTAGGAGGACTGAAGGTGTAACTCGGTGGTGGAGCGTTGGCCTGGAATGCACAAAGTTCTAGGTTTGAACCTCAGTAAAGAAAGGTAGGAAGGGAAAGGGATGAAAAAATTTCACAAGTGAATTTGATAGCTTTTTTATCTTAAAAATGAGTTGGAATTTCCCCATTTTTACAGATGGCTTGTAATCTTTTAGGGAAATAATGTCGACAGCCTTTCTCTTTACTAGCAGTAACGGGTGCTACTAGAGTCAACCATAACCTCCCAATGATGACATCAGACAGAAACCCCTGCTCACTCCTCTGCATTTACCTGAAACCTGTGTCAACTTGCTCCTTCCCAGGCTCACTCTATCGCCATACTTACAGTTGGGTAGTAACCGCCTGCTTATACTTCTGCTATTCCTGCAGCTAAGGTCAAGGGCTGGCCTTACCTCTTCCAGCTTGTAAGGTTTTAAAGGTTCATCCACTTATTTCCTATTTATTGACTTCTAGACATGGGCATTCCCGCAGATGTTGCTATCTGGTGGCGCTGGGTCACAAGCCTCAGGCATGCTGAGCTAGCTCTCTGCCAGCTGAGCTCCTCCAGGTTCTCCATGTTTGCTGCTTCCTCTGCTGGGACACTTTGTCCTCACCTGATCAACCCTCCGACTGACAGCAGACACTTCCTGAGAAGCCTGCCCTCAGCACTTAGGCTTCACTCTGTGCCCGGCTAGATGTTTCTACACATACATTTTTTGTTATTCTCATTTCTTCTTATTTCTTTGAGCAACCAATACTATAATCTCATATCAAATCTGTAGTCTGTGGCATTTGACAGATGTGCCATACATCTCGCCATTGTGCAGACATGAGAAATATTTACATGAAGACAGCGCCAGTGTCACTAGAAGACACCTCTTATGGGACCACTGTGGTGTATATGATCCATCACTGACTGGAACACCACTATATGGCAGTTGACTGTACATACAAGAACACCTTTGTCCTCTGAATTGTGACCCCTTTCACAGGTCCTACACATCTAGATTTCGATCTTATTACTTACCCAGATAAAGTAGACTTTTTTTTTTAATACTCGGTATTTTTTTTTCCAAGGTAGGGTTTTTCTCTATGTAACAGTTCTAACCGTCCTGGAACTCACTTTGTAGATCAGGCTGGCCTCGAACTCAAAGATCTGCCTGCCTCTGCCTCCCAAGTGCTGGGATTAAAGGCATGCGCCACCACCGCCAGGCTCAGTAGACTTTTCTTTGCTCACCTGAAATGCAAAACTTTCCAATCTCTATCCCTTGATTGACTATCCTTATTTGAAATGCTTAGGATCAGAGGAAAACTGAATTATTTCCAGGTTTTGGAGTATTTAAGTATACATGAATTATCTTGAACATGAAACGAGTCTAAACATGAAAGTTATTTACATTTCATATGTACTTTATATATGTAGCCTAAAGGTAATTTCATATAATACTTATACTGTGTCCACATTTTTTTAAATTTTTGTTTTGTTTTTCGAGACTGGGTTTCTCTGTAGCTTTAGAGTCTGTCCTGGAACTAGCTCTTGTAGACCAGGCTGGCCCCGAACTCACAGATTCACCTGCCTCTGTCACTCGAGTGCTGGGATTAAAGGCATGCGCCACCACTACCTGGCTTGGGTCCACATTTTTACTGAGCCTGCCACGTTAGGTGTGGATATCCCACTTGTGATGTCGTGTCTGTATTTGGAGCATTTGGAATTTTGGATTTGGAGATCAAGGGTCTTAACTAACATGTTCTGAACAGATGGCATATGGGCCTACAATTTAAGTAAAACAAACAAACAAAACAACAAATGGAGTAAGTGTGGAAGTCTATGCCTACAATCCTAGCACTTGGGAGGAAGTGGCAGAAAGATGGGGGAGTTCAAGGTTAGCCTGGGCTATAAGAGACTCTCAAAAACAAAACAAACTGAAAGCACAAAATCACAGAGTCACAGCTCTACTGTTTCTTGGGATGATACTTGTGGGCAGGGATAAGAACTCTTTTCTCAAAGTGGGCAGTGGTGGTACACGCCTTTAATCCCAGCACTTAGGAGGCAGAGGCAGGCGGATCTCTGTGAGTTCAAGGCCAGCTGTTCCAGGACAGGCTGCAAAGCTACAGAGAAACCCTGTCTCGAAAAACCAAAAACCAAACAAACTCTTTTCTCCTGCTTAAGAATTTAAACTGAGTGCCCATCTTCTCCCCTAAGTTTCTGTTTAGTTTTCACATACAGTGCTGGAGACTGAATCCAACACCTCGTGCCTTCAAAGCAGGTGCTCTACAACTGAGTTAAAATGTTTTCCTGTTTATAGGCAAAAACTCTTATGGCAAAAATAAGCCCCAGCTGATAAATCACATCAGAGCTGGAAAAAACTATAAATGAAAGTTAAAATTCCGGACCAACAGTATACTTTGGGCGCCCTGAATGCCTTATTGTACACATGCCCTCCATAACCCTAGAACTTTACCTATGAAGCTAAGGCATATCATACTCATGGAATGTAAATTCATCCAGAGAGAAGCTATGGAAGGCTTCAGGAACCCCAGACAGAGTCTGGAGAGATGGCTCAGCGGTTAAGGGCACTGGCTGTTCTTCCAGAGGACCTGAGTTTGATTCCCAGCACCTACATGGCAACTCACAACCACCTATAGGCTCCAGTCCCAGAGGATTCAAAGCCCTGTCTGGCCTCTGCAGGCACTGCAAGCACATGGTGTAGACATATATACAGACAAAACACCTAAAATAAAAATAGAGGTTAAGAAAAACAAAGTAAAAAAAGAATGCCTGACATCGCCACCCTGACAAGCTTGTGCTTATAGCAAGTATGAATGTTTGTAGTTAAATCTAAAAGACCGCCTGTCAGGTTCTGCAAACTCAGAATTGAAATACTGTATTAGACAAGGAGTAAATGGGTTGAATTTGTTTACTAAGATGCATGGTGGAAGTTACTATAGCTTTGGCTCCGGTACTACAGACCAGATGATAAAGGACTGGAAGCTGGTATATCAGCACCTGGACCCTTTGCACATAAAATCCTGCCCATTGTAGAGATCAACTGGCTTATGATTTAGTAAGCCACAGAGGTAGAGGGGACCTTGGTAAGGATGTTGTCTGAGAGAAAAGCAAACGTCTTCTATTGCAGAACCAATCGTTCCAGATTTGCCAGAGGTCCTCCTGCCTGCTCTAGAGGCCGCTCTGTCTGACAAGAATCCCAATGTGAGGATGGCAGCAGCAATATGCCAATATGCCATACAGTCACATAATCCCACTGCCCGGGACATCATGCAGACTGCCCTTGTGAAGGGTGAGTAAGTCCCTGACCTGGCATATGGGATAGAGGCTACCTCACTATCAGCTTTCCCAGTCCTTTCCTTTTCCTATAATGCCGAGATGTCCACTACAATTGGGTTTAAGTGTCTACTAGGCACATGGAGACATTAGTTCTTTTGAGTCGTTTTACAAAACAAGTGGCATGAACTGGTACCTGGACTGAGCTTTCACAGATGCATTCTATAAACCATGTCCTAAAATGGATGAAACTTGAGATGTTTTTTCTTAACTAAAATAAGCTACATACTAAAAGACAATTACCTAGTCTCCTCCATGTGGAAATGTAGCAGAGTGATTACTATAGATTAAGGTAGGGAGCAGAAAGTGGGTAAAGGCAAGTGGGTTTGACCAATGCAATGCTGTATACATGCATTGAAACAGCACCCCAAATTCCAGTTAACAATACAATTAATACATGCTAGCCAGTAATTTCAGGGCTAGACTTCTAGCACAATGGTAGTATGCTTGCCCAACGCATTAAGACCCAGAAATTGATCCGTAGTACCAAAAAGTAAACACAACAATACATAACATTTTATTATTGAAAAGATAGCGTAACAATAGTTAAGTACACTTTGAAAGTTTTTTTTTTTAAATCACCTCCTGAACACATCATGCTTCCAATTTCTGCACAGTACCACCTAGGCATTATCATATTGGAGTTAACAAGGCTGTCAGGCGAGGCCACTGACCTGTCTGGAGATGAGCTAGCTGTTCCTTGCCTTAGCACGGGAAAACTGGCTGGTCTGGCCTTCTGTATATGAACAATCCACTGCTTAATTCATCTGTTTTAGGAAGGGCCTTCCCCATCTCCACAGAAACAGCTGCGTTTCTTAGCTATGTCGGAAGTGTTACCCAAGAGGAGCTTCTAATGTTTTAGTCGAGCCTCATGGCACACACCTTTAATTCTAGCAATTGAAAGGTAAAGGCAAGGGGATCAGAAGTCAAGGTCAGGATCGGAGCTATAGCTTGGAAGCACAGGGCTTTATACCACATGCACTGAGCCCTGGATTCTATCCGTAGTACTGCCGTTGCCCAAAAAGCTCAAAGTCATCTCTGCCAGGCTAACCTGAACTAAATGAAATTCTGTCTTCAAAAATTTAAAAAAAAAAAGTTTTGCAGGTTTTGTTTTTATTTAAAATGTTAACGTATGGTTGAAATGGGAGTGGATTTCTAGACTTGGTAGGACACTGGAAAGTGTCTCACCTATCAGGTAGTTAGCAGTCATAGCTATCAATTCAAATGTTCTCTTTAGGAGAAAACATTCTGAACTAATTTTTTTTCAACCCACCGGTCAGGTAATAGTGTGGACAGCTGGGCTGCAGCTCAGTGCTTGGCTCTGGAAGGCATTGCTACGTACCCAGTGATTAAAAGGATCCTCTACCAACTCTTTAATAAGAAGAATGAAGCTACTGAGGAACAGTCCTATATTCTCCTGAGCCATCTCAGTGGAAAGACGGTATGTGTGCACTTCAGAGAGAGAAGAAAATGAGGTCTTGAGGAATAAGTATCTATAGTTGGTGCACACAAGGAATCAAGAATGCAGGTGGCTGAGAATGATGTTAAGCATAGGCCAAGTACACCAAGTCTGCGTAAAACTGGACATGGAGAAGTGTACAGGGGGATATGAGGTGCTAGCTGAGAAGTTTCTGGCTGCATAAAGGTTGAATCATGACATGCAAACATGGAGGCTTATCACTGAGACCCCCACAACTCCGTTTATTTGGGGCAGAAACATGAGACTCCACGCAGACTGAGGCAGATAGAAACCATCATCCCAGGGACTGGAAATAGTCAGAAGGGAAGGCACTCATTTTCTGCTCAGATTATCAGACCTGTATTTTCTTTATGGTTTATAACTCAAGCCAGATTGCTTGGGTAGAAGAGTGCCCCATCTCTTATAAACCCACTCTGCCCCTTAATAGGAACAAATATTTCGTGACCTTGAGGCATTTACTATGCTGGATGTCATAGTTAGGATATAATTTCTTCAAGATTCTAGAATCTCTAAGAGTAAGAGAGACTATCCATGCAAGTCATCCTTTTCCTCAGACCCTGATCCACACAATGCTCGCTGTGGAGCTGAACAGCAGGCAATGGAAGGACCGCATCATGGCCTGCCGCGCTTTCTCCCGGATCAGTGGAAATATCTGCATAGTAAGTCTTCTGTCTTTGCTCCCAGAGAGCCTGGCAAAGTTGGCCTGGAGTCTTCTGACTTTTTTCTTCTGTCTAGGATCTCATTGCTGCTTCTAATTCATAACTTGAAGTATCATGTGCTTCTCTCATTTTAAACCAGTGTTTCTTAGAGGGTTGGCAATCCACTAACTGTGACACAGCCACTATCAAATATGCATATAAACCAAGAGAGGGAGCTTATAAACTTAATAATAATCTGACACTATTTCAATATCAGTAGACATTATAAAAGTATCAGTCAGTGATGTATGCATTCCTCCCTCACCCTATGCTGAATATTGGTCCTTGATTTGAGAAGCAGACTGAAAGGACCCAACAATCCAACTAAACAAATGCCTGTGTTGGTTCCCTGAATATTCAGCACATACATGTAAATACATGGACCCTGCTTTCAAAAACAATGGCATTACAACTGGAGCAACAAAACTAACAATACAAATGAATTGATGTTGACCTCTCTGGTGGCCAGCGAGATTGACTCCCTGGATCAAAGAACATGCCAAAGACCTGTATGGAGTACCAGGGAACTATACACTTTTGAACTTGAATAACACCAACAAAGCACTTCTCATTTTTATTATTAAAGCAAGCAAAACATAAGGTAACATTTACAGTGAGCTTAAGCACATTCAAGTACAATGAGGGAGTGCACCTGGTGCTGTCCTGTCATCTTTGGCCATGTGAGCAGAGCCAATAGTCTTCTCAGGCCTTTGCTTCTCCCGCAGAGATGAGCATTCCCTTCATGTCCTTGCTTTCAAGTGCACTGACTTATCATAGTTTATGCAGTTCTTTCTAGAAGGCCCCCTTGTAGGAAGAACATTCTGCACTCTGGCCCATCCACAGTTCACAGCTTTCTTACACAGGCTCCCACAACTCTCATGAAACTTTTAGGAGACTGGTGTGTACTACTGAATGTTGGTGGTTGAACAACTTGAAGGTGTGGAACTTGGCTACAACTGAGGAAGAAATTCTGAGCAAGTGAAACCTGAACCTCTTTTTACTATTGCATTCTAATCACTAGCTGTCCACGTGGAATCAGTCCCTTCTTCCTTAGAGCGGCCCCATCTCTTGCTCACACTGGATACTGTCAGTACAGCCCCGGACACGGCTATTGCTGCTTAAAAGCGGTGCCCTCCATTCTTAACCCTTACCAAAAAATGCACAATAACCTGAAGAGGTTTGAAAACAGGTTGATTCTTTCTCATATGCTGTAGTTTCCTCTGCTAAAACACACAGCTGTGCACAAGTTACAGATGATGAGGACTTCATCATAGACGCAGGAATTTAAAAGGGCAATGTGCCTGAGTTCTTTTAGTCATTCAATAAGCTAGCAATTTCTGACCACACCCCCTCTACATTGGTAAGCATTATGAGGGCATTAGTGGTGCAGAACTGTATCTTACCTTGGTAATGCTAACTAGCTATAACAAGAGAGCTGTAAGACACTATAGTATACAGAGGGATTTCTTATGCTTACGGGAGGCACATGAGACTTTACTAGGGAGGTGTCTTTTGAGCTGAGTTCTAAATAGAAAAATACCTGGTACCAGATGGAGGTAAAGATCAATGTTTCAGGCTCAGAAGCTAGTTTACACAGTTATAGTATTATCATTCAAACTGCAGTAATGTTCTCCCTTCCAGTAAGAGAGAACACCCTGATGCAGTGACCAACTGTCCTGCTTTGTACAGGACATGGAAGTCTCAGGCAATCTGGAATGAGGGATTACTCAATTATGCAATATTTTCAAATTTCAAGTCTCTTACATTCGTGTTGGTACCAACATAACACAGGAGTTTAAGAGATGAATTTGGGAAACAGACCTGGGGTCTAAGACCAGGCATAAGCACTTAGCAGATTATCCTCGGGCAAGTTAATCAAAGTCCCCACTGTGTCATCTGTACATAGAAATATCATCTGCCCAACCAAACTGAGAGATTAAAGGATAGAAAAAAACTTGGTGTCAAGGACAAAATGAATGAGCCAATTATCATACCTATTGGTAGGATATGAAACATAAGCTTATCCAGCTGATGTGGAACGACTGGAACAAGGAAGTAAGGCAAGCGGCTGCCAAAGCACTGGGGCAAATGAACCTTGGGAAAGAGGTGCATGACATGATCAGGTAAGATTCAGTCACTGCGAGCTCAGAAGCTCTTCCTTTCTTAGGAGTGCCTGGGTGACCTGCAGCCAGCCAGCATCTGCTGAGTTCCATGTATGATCAGCATCGTGCTAGATCCACTGCAAAAAGTTCAATCCCAGCTGGGCCGTGGTGGTGCACGCCTTTATTTTAGGGAAGACACAATTCTGATGAACACAAACACAATATACAAAATATACAAAATACCTAATTTTAAAAAACCAAACCATGCTAAACTAGTACAATGGCATATACCATAGCTGCTATAGAAAAATGGGATACTCAGTGTGGGTAGTAAGGCCAAGTTCCTCAGAGATACAGGCATTCCAGGCTAGGAGACAACTGCCAAAATGAGCACTGTATTGGTAAGAGGAGGACAAGCTGACACTTTCCTTTATTTGGTTGTTCAAGACACCTGAATGTCTACCATATGCTAGGTAACAGGAGTTCAGGAAAATAAGGCACCTGAGGTCTGAACCCAGTCAAATGTAAATGGTTATAAAGGTATGTCTACAAAACTGGACCCACAGGCTAGGATTCTATCCTGAGGGCATGGTGGAAGGGAACAAGGCACAGAAAAGTTTAAGGGAAATAAAAGTCACTTGTGTCTTACAGGATTAAGCTGAGTCAAGGAAATTCCCAGGAACGGATTGAGGCCCTCTCCCTGATCCGTGTGCTCAAGCTCATGACAGCCAAGCTTCTCCCAAGCTTCCTGAGCTGCTTCTCTGATGAGTTCATAGCAATTCGGCAGGCAGCTTGTTTGGCGGCAGGTGCCCTGCAGATCTGTGACAAGATGGTAAGTCAAGGCAGCATGCTGTCGTCTCATCTGCTGGACCTGCAGAGAGTGTCACCATCGCTGCGGTGCTCGGAACACTCACTGTCCCGTGGGAACGTGGAATGAGCAGCGACAGGCAGGTGAAAGGAGACACAGACCACATCAATCAGTAAGAAGCATTGAGCCTAGTGAGCCCAAACTTCAAGCCAGAGCATGCCACCCTCTCAATCCGTTCTCATCTCAGCTAACTAGCTTCCTAATACCTGGCCACTGATAGGCTCAAGAGTTAGTGCCAATGGGGACTGGAGAGATGGTTAGCAGATAAGAGCACTGGCTGCTCTTCCAAAGGACCTGGGTTCAATTCCCAGCACCCACATGGCAGCTCTCAACTGTGTGTAACTTCAAGATCTGACACCCTCACACAGACATACATATAGGTACAATGCCAATGTACATAAAATAAAAATAAATAAGATATTTAAAAATTTAAAAAAAAGAGTTCGTGCCAATGAAGAGTTTACACTCCCTCATTATTAGGGGGAAGCTAGACAGAAGTATTCAAAGGAAGTCTAAGTGAAGCATGGTGTGATCCTTGCACTTGGGAGGTAAGAGACAGAAGTTCAAGAATTTGAGGTAAGGGGCTGGAGAAATGGCTTAGCAGTTAAGAACACCAACAGCTCTTCCAGAGGACTCGGTTTCATTCTCAGCATCCACATGGTGGCTTACAATTATCTGTAATTCTAGTTTCAAGGGATCCAATGCCACCTTCTGGCCTCTGAGGGCATTGTACTACATGGTGCATAGACAAACACATGCAGGCAAAACACCCATCACATTAGAAAGCATTTGAGGTCAACCTAGGCTACAAAGTAATGCAGTCTCAAAAGTGAATAGGGGGGGCAATTGGGGAGAAAGTTTTGAGACTAGGGGTACAATTCAGTGGTAGAGCATGTAGTTAGTGTATGTATGGCTACAGATCTCTGTGCTAAGAAAAATACACAAAGACTAGACAATTCAGCTAGTTATATAGGCTGATACTTGGGGCTATAGCCCATTTGTCACTAGAATTGATAGAAGGTTGCTTTTCCAGTTAAAGCATCCCTAGAAGTAAGTGGGGTCCCTGTTTCTGGTCCATTCTTACTCTGGTTCTTCCCACTCAACTTTTCTTTATCTACTGCAGGTGCTTGCATGCCTCCTGAATCTGATGCACAGAGACCCCTACTGGAAAATCAAGGCTTTCGCCATTCGAGGTATTGCAGAAATAGCGCCAAGCCCTAGACTTGAAATACTTTCTTCAAGCTAACAGATACCTAGAAACTCTAGTGAGACAGCTAAAGTGTAGTGGGAAGAACTGTCTTAGTGTCTCAGAAGTCTCTGTGCTGAGAAAGAAAAGAGATTTTATTTTAAAGGTTTAGCTAATGACTCTTTTTGTTTGTTTGTTTGTTTTTTGAGACAGGGTTTTTCTGTAGCCTTGGAGCCTGTCCTGGAACTAGCTCTTATAGACCAGGTTGGCCTCGAACTCACAGAGATCCGCCTGCCTCTGCCTCCCGAGTGCTGGGATTAAAGGCGTGCGCCACCACCACCCGGTTTAGCTAATGATTCTAAGTCTAGGTCTGCTTAAACTTTTTAGCAAAGAACAGACTCCACAGTCCCCACCTACAGAATTAAGGGTAAGTTTCTAGTTGATATCCACGGTTGGATACATCTTGCTCTCCATGGAGAGTTCAACTATAGCACTTGTTAAGCGTCAAATCAGATTCGACAGTTGCAAAGAGCTTAAAACTTGCTCTTCAATGGGGGCGCACGCCTTCAATCCCAGCACTGGGAGGCAGAGGCAGGTGGATCTCTATGAGTTTGAGGCCTGCCTGGTCTACAGAGCTAGTTCCAGGACAGCTAGGGCTGTTACACAGAGAACCCCTGTCTTGAAAAACAAACAAACAAAATCTTGCTCTTCAATTTTTCAGGCTTTTTTTCTAGAACCTCTGTGCTGCTTCTCTTTTTGAAATGGTCTCTGATAGACCCCCCTAGGAGAACAAGACCTAAGAAATCCTGAGAAGTAATTGTGCCTTCCTCCCCCACCAGTCTACCTTAACTACTCTGCTCTTCCATGTCAGATCTGCCCCCAGTCTAATTCCTGAGCAGGCAATCTTGTCTGTTTATATCCCATTAGGCAAGGACAGGAAGAAACACCCCTCTTAGGGGTCTCCTTTGGAAGAACTATCCTAGTGCAGTCAGGCAGGGTGGAACACACCTGTAACTGCAGCCCTCAGAAGGCAAAGGCGGGGGATCACTGCAAATGTGAGGCCAGCCAGGGCTACACAGCAAGACCCTGCCCCAAAGCTAGGCATCAAACGCTACACATGCTGAACAACGCTTTGCTAGCTCTCTAAAGTTCCTTTCTAAACTTCTCTACTTTTCACTTTACTATCTTCTTATGATTAACTGCCATCCCCCAAGATACTGTCTGCAAGACTCAAATTCCTTCTGGATGTAGGATAGTCAACTTAAGTCTTCAATGACAGTGGGACATGCTTGCCCTGTCACCTCTACAGCTCTGGGACAGATTGGGCAAGTGAGTCCCCAGCTGACAGATCTTCTGCTCTGGGCTATCCACTATGAAGAATCACCAGGTGTACGACTGGAAGCGTGCCGCAGCATCCTAGCCCTCAAGCTTCAAGGAAACCAGGTCAGGGACACCTTTCAGGACGTGCTACTCCTGGAGGACCACGAGGCGGTTCTAAAGTAAGCACCAAAGCTCTGGTTTCTGCCATGACCTCAGACTGCCAACTCTCCAATCCCTGAGCACTAACTATGTTCTGTCTTTTCAGGCTAGGCGGTAACAGAAAATCCTGCCATAATTAGACTGTCACAGCTCCCATAGTTCATGTGTTATTTCTCTTCTTCCAGGGAGTTTTAAATTATTCATTTATTCAACAAACATTTATCCAGTAGCTACTGAAACAAGAGTCAACAAAACCAGGGTCTCAATGCCATTTACCCACACTGTAAGTGCTGTGCCTCCTCCTAGCCCTTTCTGTTGGTCTCAATCCTCCAATGCAGATGAAAGTCTACAGTAGAAGCTGTGGTGACAATTAATGAAATGACATTTGGCAACTTTCACAAAGGTGTTTAATAACAGTAACTGTCACTGCCTTCACAGAAATACTCTGGAACTGCACAAGGACCGTGTAAATTATCACGTCATTTCTGCAGAGAAGACTCAGTTACTGTTGACGAGTGTAGTTTAGGGTTTCTTGCCTAATTCCAAATCCTACAATGTTTAACACCATGCTTTCTTCTTAAGGACAGGGTAGAACAATCTTTCATACATTTCAGGGAAATTTACCAGGCAATGATGGCACTCAACTTTGAAATGGAAGGAAATCAAGATATGCTTCAGGAGATCAAGAACAAGGTAAATAAGTACAAACTGTGTTTTCAGGAGAAATCCAGGGCTTCCATGTTTTACTAATAAGCATGATCTAGTCAATTACTTTATCTTTATTGCTTTGGTTTTTTGAGAGTTTTACTATGTAGCTCAAAATGACCTTAATGATCTTCTTGCTCAGCCTCTCAGTTCCATGCTTGGCATAATCAAATTACTCTAAAGCTTTTTCCTCATTAATCCTGTTGGTTGCTTGCTTTTCTAAACATTTTCCCCTTAGATTGAAACACTAAATCAAAAGGACTTGCTGACGGAGAAAATATTCAAGATGGAAATGGCCATAAAAAATGTGAAGGAAAAAGCAAGACGTATTTACTCAGAACCCAAGGAGGGCCAAAAACCACTGGAATTCCAAACTTTTCTTCTAGATGTTTTTCAGAGTAGGTTTCTTCTGGGTGAACCCATCCCTTGACTCTTCTTACCAGACTATCCCAGGATCTGGACACTGGGGAACTTCACAGGAGCCCTGTATGATTTAAGTCAGGAAGGCTACCCATTCTCCTTCCTGGTTTCCATTCACTGTCCCCCCAGGTTTCCATCCATCTGCAACTGTGTGTAATTTAAAAGGTAGCTCCATCTGAACTGATTTTAAAAGGACATACCTAGAAAAGCAAATTACTACTATGTGTGTTTGATTAAGCACCCCAAAAGACCTTACACATTTCATCTGTTATAGTGGCCATCTCCGGAAAGTGCAGCCGGAAGGAGAGCAATCATTGTATATTCTAACTTAAGGGAAAAGAACAATTTTTAAAAGTTCTCAACCATAGAAACTGAATCTATGAGTTATGATGACATGATCTTCAGAGACCTAGACACACTCTAGATGATGAAGGGTCAAAAGTTGAACTATACCAAAATATACTTACAAAATCTGTAAGCAGCAACCTCGGTCATTCGGCCAGTTGCCTACCAGCTACCACCCCAAACCCGGATCTTCTGCTTCCAAGTGCTCTTTCTGGTGCACCAGGCTCTCTTCCACCAATCATGAGAACATACACTTGCCAGATTTGGGGAAGTTTCGTCCAACTGCCAGGGGAAAACAAATGAGAGTGGAAAGTAACTTGAACACCAATCTTCCCTGTGGCCAGCGTGCTAAAAGTTGGATGACTAAAGCCTATGAAAGCATAACCAGGTCATGACACGGTCCTCTAGGGACTTAAACCACGCACTGAGCAAATACAATATATACTTCAAAGCTGACTCTGCCAGTGGAAGCTTTTCCGTGAGGACTGCCCAGCGGGAGTTCAAGTAGCATAACTAACGTGAGCAAACTACCTCCAAAGCTAATAAATGGTCCCAACCACATCTGCTTCTCTTCTTTAATGAGTGATGCTGAGGATGAACCCAAGGCACCACATATGCCAAGCATACACTTGCTCTACCCAGCCCTCTTCTTTAAAAAAGTTAATATACTCCTTTGACATCATACATCACATTGCCTTTCATCTCTGCCATATCTCCCCTATCTCTTCCTTGTCTCACACTTTTCAAACTACCCCCCGCCACACACACACACACACACACACATACCCACACACAAAGAAATCTAGGCTTAGAAAAGAGAAACAGTCTTTGGCGCTTTTTAATAAATCTTCTATCATTCATACAAACTTAACATAGCATACTGACCCCGTCCCGTCCCACAAATTGATGAAAGAGAACTCAGAGAAGCAACTTCCATATAAAAATCCCTAAGGTCTCAAGCAGATTGGCACAGCCAATGCCACCCAACACACTGAAGCCCGCAGGGAATGCAGTTGGTACTGTGAAATGATAGGGGTCGTTACTTCTGCAGACACAGCTTTCCCCCCTTGCTCCAATTTCTGTTTACTTTTGTACCTAGATGAAGAGGTTCCTCCTAGGAAAGGGTCTGAGATTTGCGACATTGAAGCAGCCATAAAGGTAAACGTAACCATACTGATGCTCAGCAAGGTAAGCCCACGACTTCTTTAAGGGAGAAAAAGGTGCCGGCGGTGGTGGAGGGAGAATCACGACCACATTCTTTCCAGCCATCCTCAAGACACTAGCTCAGAACAAGAGGGGTCTTGGTGAGCAGCAGCCCCTTATCATACAGCATGGTTGCCAAGGAAAGCTGGTCTTCCACACTGTCACAGGGCAGATCCCCTACTCTCACAAACTCTGGGTAGGAGCGGAGCAAGAGCTCCATGGCGTCAGCTTGCTGTGGGTAGATTTCCAAGCACTTGGGTTCCTCCAGGTGATAAACACGAGAGTTTTCCACCGTGTAATAGAGGAACAAACGGCCTCCCTCACCCACCAGCCGAGCTATGCCATCCTGAAGCATATGGACTTCTGTTTCTGTGGTCAACTGGGCCCCCACATTGACAGGCTCTCCAGCCTCCCAGCGAATTGGGAGCCCGTGAACACTCAATGCCCGTTCCCGATCAGTCAACACAGGGGGCAGAGAATCGTGGATGAAGTCTTTGGCTCTCTGGTCAGCCACAGCATCGACAGGAGCGAAGTGTCCCAGGCGCGCAACCAAGACCCGCACCTTTTCCATGAACGCTGTTCTTCTCGGATCCTTAGAGTCTGAATGCTGGGCCCCCATGTAATCCATGAAGTCTCGAGGCAGACCTCTGCGGAACTCAACATTTTCTTCTATTGCTGCTTGCACGGCCAGGGGCAGTACCGCCTCCAGGAAGTCACCCCATGTATTGCGCTGGAAGGTGGACAAGGTGAGGTGCAGAGAGTGGACTCCATCCTGACACTCGGCTTGATGAATGAAGCCTCGAGGAAAATAAAGCAGGTCGCCAGGTTCCAGTACCGTTTGTAGCACCGGCTCACCAAGGTCCTCCTGGCTGAAGTTGGGACTAGATGTCAGAGCCAGCTCCTCACTTGGGTCCCGCGGTCGGTAGACACGCCAGAGTTTCCGACCTTCCAACTGCAACACGAAAGCCTCAATGTCGTCGTAGTGGGGGGCAAAGCCCTGGGAGTTGGGGGGCGTGAGGTAAACGTTGGAGCCGGCCATGCTTCCGAACTGTTCCTGGAGCACGGCCAAAAACTGCCACACGGTGGGCGAGAAAGCCTGCGGGCAGAGAAGGCGCAAGGAGCAGCCGGCCTGGTACAGGGACCAGGCGGCGGCGGGCAGGGCGCGGCCCGGTGGGTTCAGGGTCTCCCGCCGCCCGTCGATGTAGCGCGCGGCATCCAGATGCTGCCCGAAGTGCACGTCCTCGTGGCGCAGCATCGAGTCCAGGTCGGCGGTGGAGAAGAGGCCTCCGTAGTAAGTGGGGTCCTGCCGCCGCACCAGCACCGCCTCCCGCTCCCACAGGCGCCGGTAGAAGTGATCCGGGGGCAGGGGCGCCAGGAGCCACTCGAAGAGGCGGGCGGCGCGCCTCCGGCTGCTGGGGATGCCGTTCAGCTCGGCCAACACCTGCTGCAGCGGCGAGTCCCACGGCTGCTCCGCGTCATCCACGCGCGGGCCCGGAAGGGACACCGGGGTCCCCAGGAGGCGAGAGACTGCGGGCCGCCCCTCCACGCGGCGCCGCAAGGACACCGAAGCCGGCCGCGGCTCCGCCGAAACCGACCGCGCCCGCCCCTCGACAACGCAGAGCAGCCGTGGGACTCGCC